AATATTTTTCCTTTCCAACCAAATAGCCCGCAGCACTATACAATAAATAGGGGACCCCACCTCCTTATTTTACAAAATAAATCCAACACGAACTGCAAATATAAATCATTAATTGACTCTGGGCATACAAAGGAAACATACCACGGCTTGCAGCATTTCATCCAAAATTTACAGGAGCACTTACAAGTAGCAATAGACCTCGTAATTTTTTATCCACCCCATTAACCCGTCTGTTTAAAACAGGTTAGGGTCATATATTTATAACTCGTAACCTGTTAATGATCCGTTAAGAGAACCCGACGGGTCGTGGGTCCATAACGAGTTGACCCATCAGGTTAACGGGTTTGACCCGTTTACCAATCAAAAAATTTAAAATTTAAAATTTATTATTTAATTATTTTGTTTTTCAATTCCCAATCCCACCTAAACCTCTAATAATTGACTAATATTCCCTAATTAACTAATTGATTCTCTTGACTTATCATCTTTTAGAAGTAAAAATAATCCCACTCCACTCATAACTCACCTCTTGACCTTTCTTATTCTTGCTTGCTCTAATACTCTCGAAGACTCTAACTCTCCAAACTTCAAACTCTTCTCATATTCTTCAACCTCCATAGTCCATACAGCATTTGACTTTCAAGCTTTGACTCCACCTTTTCTCTTTAGTCTTTAACATTATCTCAGATTTAGATTTTAGTCTTATCGAGTCACTGTTGCGTCCACTCAGTCCTATCTTTTTTTCTCCTATGAGTCCGGCAAATACTCTTTTTGTCACCAACTTTTCTCTCTAAAGACTTCAAGGTAAGTTGTTTACTTATTTATGCCTTTTAGTTTTCTTTCTATTCCAAGTAAAAATTTTACTTGATTTTCTCCTTTGCTTACTTAGATGCATTCAATTGATTATTCTTTGAAAGCAATGACCAAAACAAATATGTTCCAATGGCGTTTGTGTTTTTTGGTTGTATGCTACTACTGCTTTTTTTTTTTTTTTCTATTGAGATTTATAAGTGTAGTGTTCTTGAATTTGATTAGTGATGTTCTTTGAAGGGAAATAAAAAAGGTGATTTTGAGGGACTGTAAATATGTATATATTAAATTAATGAAAAAAAATTATTTTTATAAGATGTTGAATTTTTTTTTAAATCTTTTGAATAATTTTCTTTGAATGATAATACGTACAAATTATAGAGA